CCGACGCCGCCAACAATGCGCCGCCTGGCGGCGAGAGCTTCGCCGCGCAGACCGCGCGCATCGCCGATTTCCTGGCCGCCCTGCCGCCCGGCGACCACATCGCCGTCACCCATTCCGGCGCCATTCGCGCGGCGCTGGCCACGGCGCTGGCCATGCCGCTCGCCGCCGCGCTGAGCTTTGTGATTGATCCCCTGTCGGTCACATTGATCGAACGGCTGGCCGGCGGCTGGCGCATCGCTTACGTCAATCGCCTCGCCGACGAGCCGCCGCTCCCCCAGGGCGCTGTTCCGTCAGACGACCACGCCTGATGAACCAGGATTGGCTCACGACAGCTGACATCGCCGCAGGCTGCCGTCCATCTGAACCACGCGTCAATCGCACGGCTGGCGGAGCACCAGCCACCGCAAAGCGTCGCGCAGCCGGCGCCAGGGCCACGCAGCGCTTGCGCCTTCCAGATCGCGGATGCGTCAGCATCGTCACGCGCTGGCGCTAGCGGCTCAGAAGGTGCGGTCGATGCGCAGGCGGGTCAGCCAGTTGTCATCATACCTGGTGGTGCGGTTGGCGGCGGCGCCGCCGCGATTGGCGTCCCACACGCGCCCCTTGACGTTGATGCGCTGATAGAGCGCTTCCACGCCGATATCGAGATCCTTGACCGGCGACCACACCAGATTGGTGAGACCAACCAGTTGGCCGAAATTTCGGAATGCGACGCTGTAGGCGCCGCCCGCCCCCAGTTCGATATTGCCCAGAGGGCCGTTGGTTCGCGCTCCACTGGGATAGCGCAACTGACCGTAGCTGGCCACAAAGCCAGAGCGCAGTTGCGGCGACCAATAGTGAAGAAACGCCGCTGTCGCCGACCACGACGTGCTCGGCCGGATCGCGCCGCTGAACGGATCGACATAACCGTCCAGCTTGAACGCGTTGAAACGGACGCCGCCGCCGATGCCGCCCTGCAGGGCGCTGTCGTGACCGGTCGGCGCGGACAGGCCCGTGTAAGACATGGCGCCGCGGGCATAGGCCGCCTGCAGCCACAGGGCGTCGCCAGGAGCAGCGAACGGCAGGTTGAACTTCACGCCAGCCTGCGCCGCATAGCCCCACATCGAGGCGGGCCGCTGGGCGACGCCGCCGCCCGGCGCCCCGCCCGAGAAGCCGCCCACCGACAGCTGGTGCGCCGCCACAGACAGTTGCGCCGAACCCCAGCCCTGGTCGACGCGAAGATTGGCCACCACATCCGGCGCGTTCAGCCGCTGGGCAACGTCCACATAGGTATAACCAGTCTGCCAGCCGTCCGGGCCCCAAGTGTAGACCATCGCCCCGAACGTGCAGCCCACCACCGTGCCGTTCGTGCACAGGCCGGCGCTTGCTGCGCCGGCGTTCAGACCGACAAACGGCTGCACAACGCCGCTTGATCCCACCGCGCCAAAAAAGAGCGGATTGCGGCGGAACGTGGGGTCTTCCATCGACAGGGTGGCGCTGACGCCCTGGCCGAAGCGCACCGTATAGGCGAGCAGATTGGTGAAGGGGACGTTCGAGGTGATGGAGAAATTCGTCAGCTCAATGTCGGTCATGTAGAAGTCGTAAAAGGACGAGGCGCGACCAGCGGTGAGGCCCGCAAACTGGATGAAAGCCTTGTCGACCTCGACATATTTGTAGGCCCGGTTGTAGGTGTCGACGCCTGTCGCGTTGAAGCCCATGGGGCCCATGGCGCGCAGCGTGCCGGAGGCGCCGTGCTGCTGGCCGGTGCGGCTGGCGATGTCAAAACGCACAAAGGTGCGCAGCGTGCCCCAGTCGGTGGCCGTGCGCGCGTCCGCCTGAAGGCGGCCGGCGGCGATGAAATTCGATTTGTCGTGGCCACTGAGACTGCGGTATTGGGCGAACTCATAGGCGAAAGATGCCCGTCCACCGATCCTGATGCAGGTATCCGTGCCGGGAATATAGAAAAAGCCGACGCCATGGGTCGAACAGACACGGACATAGTCAACAGGCGCCACCTTACTCTGCGGCAGGTCGGCCCCGGCGGCGAACCCGGAACCAGCCAGAAACGCGGCACCGCCAAGCGCCGCGATCGTGAGGGTGTGTGCGCCCCCGCTCCGGGTCCACAAGGGCCGTGACGAGCGGCGGCCTGACGGGTCGCAATCGTTCGGCATGACACGCTCCACTGACATCGGTGCAGTTAAACGCGCGCCAGGATCTGACAGCGCACATAATATTTAGCAATTATAAAAAACTAATACTATGATACCCGCGCCACATATTGAATGTTACGCAATGACTTGAATTTTTTTCTCAAAATTCTCAAACGGAAACCTGACGGGTCGCCCTCCCGCCCCCCTTGCCAACCCTTGCCAACCCTTGGCGTCGGACGCGGCGGGCGCACGTCCCGCCCCGTGACGCCAGTCTGATGCGCACAGCCCATGCAATTCTGTCCAGGTCCGAGCGACGCCGCACGCCAGAGCCTCAGCCCGCGCGGCGCTTGCGCCTTTCAGGTCGCGGATGCGTCAGCATCGTCGCAAACTGGCAGGAGCGTCATAGCGCGTCGTCAAGCGCCTCGGCGACCTTCTCCCGTCGCCGGCGGGGCAGGAGCGTCATGAACAGGATGAAGCCGGCGAGGCAGAAGCAGACGGCG